AATGGATCTTCAGAGCAATCCTGCCTGGAGCCCAAGGTCTCATCTCTGCACGAACGAAGGTCGAACTCGCTCCACCCGGTCTCCCCGGCGCCGGGGTTTCGATGGCGTTTCTACCGGTGTCCCCGGGTGTTTTCGGGGCCCCTGACGGCTTCCATCCGGGCTACCCGACTTCGAGCCCGCGTTCCGAGCTCTTTGGACGTCGGTCCGGTCCACCTCCGAAAAGGATTCCAAAACGAAAAGCAGTTGGAGCCCTCTTGAGGTCCATGGCCATCTTGGATGCTTCAAGGATCTCCAAGGCTTCTGAGGTCCTCTTCGGGTTCCAAACAGACGCCCAGAAGTGCAGGCGGTTTTCTTTGTTTCTCCAACTGGCAAAGTCCGGAGGTTTCACTGGCGGAAGATGATTCCGATGCCTGCTAGATGCAGGACAACTCCATTTACTGTAACTTACTATACCCAAACACTCCATGGGACTGGCATATTTACCTACATTCAGGTGCTTGAGCCGGGGTCAATGTATGTAAATATGCCAGTCCAGTGCCTGGGATAGGAGAAGTTGCCCTCCACCGATCCTCACGACCTCGCGGTCGGCTTCGGGGTGAACCACTGCAGCGGTCGGGCAGGTCAGGTCCGTCGTAGGAGAAAGCCAAGTCAGTTGGTATTTTTCCCCCAATCCCTGGCGGAGGTGTCTTTGACAGCCAAAAACAACAGATCCGAACTCGCACCTTCCGGATGGAAGAGAAATGTTCAAGTGTTTTTTACCACACCCGCGCAGTTGGACTTTCGTTCCGCTGGAGCGAGCCCCGGAGCGGGAGCGGGAGCTAGCAAGCGACCACAGCGTTCGTTCCCCCCCAATACGTTTGTCTGCCGGTGTTGCAGACAAACGTTCTCCGCATCACGTGTTGAAAAGCATTAAGCCATGGCTTTCCAAGTGGGAACATACGTGCAGATCAAAGGCTTGTCAAAGAAGCCAGAGACTTGGTCTGCAAACTGGAATAGCCGTGCCTCACGATGTGTTTTGGCTTCTATTTGTGTCTATGTTTAAAGGCCTCCACAACTCCAGTGTCACATCTGGAAAGAAGTCAGATGATCTCAGGAATACAATGGCTTCACTGGCAAGATCTTCGTGGAAAAGAACGATGAAGATCGCTGGGGCGTTGAGTTCTTCTATGTGGGTCGGATGAACAGCTTGAAGACCATCTTAGCAAAGGAGGACAATTTGGGCTTGCTGTGCGAGCTGCCCAAGCCCTTACCACGATCAGGCAAAGTGCTTCTTCTTGATGGTTTTGGCATGTTTGGTGCTAAAGAGAACTTTGTCACCAAGGCCTTGTTTGCATCCGACCCAGCGTTCTTCCAGCAGTGTGGTGTAGTTCATGTGGGCTTGCAGGATGAGAATCCCAAAAGTGGCGAATTGTGCGAGAAGGCGATTCTGGCTGCCTGTGCAAATCCTGCAGACTTCCGAGCCATTGTAGTTTCGGATTTGAGTGTTAACTGTTAGTTTTGATGAAGCGCTTCGGTACATTGCAGGTCCCTTGAAGACTTTTGTCCGCACACACAAGGGAACCGTTTTGTTTCCAACCACAGAGGGTGGGAACTGGTGTGCGAAGTTTCTCGAGCCTGTGTTCAGTGATGTTGTGGAGTGGAAGTGCAGCACCTATTTCCGCGCAACCCATGCAGCAGTGCAAAGGAATGCAGAAAACGTGGCAAAGTTTTTCCCCGGTATGCAATCAGCCAAGTTCTCAGTCAAGGGCTGCATGCTCGAAAATGTTCCAACACGGGAGACGTTCTTTGCTACATCTCAGGACTGCAAGCTTTTTCGTGCTTGGTTTGATGACTACAAAGCTGAGGAGGACCAGGACGAGGCCCGCACCAGTGCCATCGTGGCCGTGAAATCGGGCGGTGCTTTGGGAGGCACCATCGCATACTTTGGAGATGTGAACGCCGAAGATGAAACACAGACCTTGATGCTGAAGCTCCTTGCTGAGAGTCCCATCTCAGTGTCCATCCCAGAAGGCACGGATGGCACACGGATGACACAGACGGTGAGGTGAGTTCGCTTTGGGCAAGGTGATGTGATCATCGAAGAGTTGTCGAAGAAGAGGAGTTCAAAGAAACGCGCAGGGGCCATTGGTGCTGGAGTGTGCTGGACGTGACCAAGGTCCAGAATAGGTGAATGGATGGGGAAGGTATGTATCTAAGAATTACATTCAGCCACCATGACCAACAAATGTTCAGTCATTTAAGTGCTGCATTGATTGCCGAGACAGAGAGAGAGAGAGAGGGAGCAAGGGGGAGAGAGAGAGAGAGAGAGATAGAGAGAGGAGAGAGAGAGAGTTGTGGGAGAGAGGGAGAGAGTTGTGGGACCTTTACCATACTCTTTTGTTTAACGTCGTTTGCCCATGATCTCATTCATCATTGTGTTCCGACATCAGAGTATGTGACACCAGGGTTGACGTTCTTGTTCCATCTTGCGCCACCCCATTTGGATTCGCCCAAAGCACGAACATCAATCTGTGAAGCATTTGGGCCGTCAATCTTCTCAAGGTCACCCCCAAACGTTGATCCAACAAATTATATAACACATTTGTGAGAACAAAACTTGTACCGCGCGTCATGTTCTCACGTCACGCCACTTGTGGAAACTCCGCGGAAAAAAAAAGGCGTTTTTCCATGCGGAAGGGTCATGTGAACATGTGAGATCGCACGCGGAATGTACGTGTTGTGTTGGAAACCGAAGCTCACCGTGCCTGGCTGGCGGTGTTCGTTCTGCGGCTGTTCATCTCTTTTGGCACTTGGGACCCTTCAGATCCCGGGCGACGGTGTTCGATGCCAAGGTGAATGAGATCCTTTACGTGAACTTCAACCAGGAGAGAACTTGGACATGAAGTTGATACGGACATCTATGGGCACCCTGGAGTCATTGAACCATATGGGCACCCTGGAGTCACATGTCGGGGGTGGTTTTTAGTCCAGTGAGGGGCACCATGGGCACCCCTGGAAGAGGCCTGAGAGTCACAAAATGTCACTGAGTTGGAGTGTTTTTAAGCCCCATCCGGTGAGTGGATGTGACAAGGGCACCCCTGGAAGCGGTCTGAGATGTTCACTTGAGCGCCTGAGCTAGTGACCGAAAGTCAGATCATAGACACCCAGCCTGTACGAAGGCAATGTTGCAATATGTTTTTCGGAAAAGGAGAAGAGGAAGCTGCTCAAAGCCCGTTCTTCCTATCAATTACCTTCAACCACCATCAACTCGACCATTCTGACTTCCACATGCCAGGACCAGACGTGCTTCGTCTGCGGCACAGAGAGCGGCTTCCGCGTCTACAGCACGGAGCGGCGGCTTCCGCGGTGGTCGAACATCGACCGAAAACGGTGGAGACCCGGGGTGGAGACATCAAAAGATATCAAAAGTACGTCCTAGTATGGAGCCACATACCGAACCTGAGGTACGGGGATTGGAGACTATAGATACATATGTATCTAGGCTTGAAGTGCCAAAGACCGAACCTGAGGTACGGTGGCCATGTGGATCCACTCGGGGCGAATGAGAACCTCAAACGGGTCGCGTCGTCATGTCTTCAGCGTTCGTCGAGGCCCTCCACTGGACCGAGGAAATGGTTTTCAGCCCGACAGGAATGGCGCCAGTCCAGTTGTTATATCTGAATCTGTGTGTGTGTGTGTTCATGTCAACGTAGATTCCAGAAGACTTGGAAAAAACAAACAGAAATGTGATGTTGCAGAGTTGGAGGAGGCATTGTCGTGTTTTTTTGTTTTGTGTTGTTTTTTTTCCTTTTTTTTGGGGCGAAAGAAGGTTCGAAACTCGAAACATACCGTGTAAGATCTCGGTAGTCGCTTTGAGGCTTTGAGTGTCAGTTCCGAAGGCCATAACTTAGGAAGACAAACATAGTCGAATAGGAGATGATGATCCTCACAGTAGCGTATGTTTCCACCATGTTTCCATCAAAAGATGAAGTTGTTCGTCTACGTTCCACTGTGGCTCATGTCTTCCCGGTGCTCCCCTACATTCCGCATACATCCCAATTTTGTTTGAGGTCTCGTGCTTTTCCTACCTTCTGAGGATGTCGTTCGATCTAAAGCATCCATCCCTCGGCCTCACTCAGCGATATGCCAACAAGCGCAGCATGCTGCGTTTTCGTCCAAAACCGCCCGCCGGGGGGGGGGGCAGGATCCGTTCCACCTCACCTTTCGAAGAGAGGAGATGGGGGGTGGATCTGAGAGATGAGGAGAAGGCAGCATTTTTGGTTATTTCAATTAATAACCAGCTATCAGCTATATATGTTTATCGTATAAGAAAGATGGCGCGAGTATAGGAAACCCGAGTGTCCTTTGGGGCGAAGTACGCCAGGTTCGGCCTGGGACCTGTCTGACTAGGCGGATCACAGAGTATGAGTGGCGAGTGCACGTAGCTCTTTGATGCTCTTTGTTCGACTTGCAGCAACGTTGCAAAAGGAGTTTAGCGCCATAAATCCGATGGTCAACCCGGAGCACCCATGTTTGGCCCTACCCCTCTTTTGAGTGGGCTTCAACCACATGTCCACGAAGGGCTAGAGCAGCTGAGCAGCTAACGCTGAAAAGAACGTCCTAGTTGGCCGCACGCAGGGCTTGACAGGACGGAGGTGGTCAACTAGGAAGTCGTCCAGACCTTGTCAACTAAGCTACTTGTAGCACCTCATAGCCTTCCCTCTCATAATGGAGCTGTCTCAGGCTCTGCTCTTCTTCGTTTCTGTGATGATTTTGAATGTAAGGAATCAAAAGCAGATGATTTGACTGGGCCCCCACGCATGCTGAGGGACCACCCACCTATGCATGGATTCCATGGATGTAGCCTCCCCCTGCGTGGAGTACCCTGGGTTTCCCACCGACGGAGCACAGAGGTTCTCCTGGTCCCGAGCCATGTGCCTGCTCTCCAGGATGGTGGTGGCCTGGGCGTGGTGTGCATGCTGGCGATGAGCTGAGATGGATTTTTCCTAGCACCCAGGGCGGCCAATGTGACAACGTGACCCATCGATTGGAGTAGACGGTTAATAAATTTGTAGAAGGGATGAGGATGAGCTACACGCGAACTACATGACTACTGATCTTCCATGAGAGAACAAGATTTTGTCCCAAGGGTGACAAGCTGAAGTGTCTCGGCATCTATGCAGGAGCGTTGGACCCCCTGAATCATCATCACCAATTCCTCCTTGTCTTCCTCAAAAATAGAAGGTGCTGTTCCCTCAACTGGCTGGTCCCTTTCTCTTTTTCTTCTGGTCGTTGACCTTCCCCCCGGTCGACTCACCCCGGTGCGGCTCAACATCGCCGCCAACCTCAACAGCGATGTCCCTCTCGCGCCAAAAAGCTCAGTTCCGCACCAACATCCTGGCCTTCACGGGTGGTGGCAAGAATCCGCGCTTCCAGCCACAGAATGACTCTTGGCAGAACGACTAGGTTCTGTATAGCCCAGTCAGACAGGTTCTGGTCGAGAATCGGGGGAGATGAGGTGAAGATTTTTTCGGGGGAGAATGGTCGATTGGAGGATTCTTGGAAATTCCGAGGCGCCGCTAGCGCCCATGTGATGATATGTGATGTGCGAAGATCTTTCTCCAGAAAACCGTGTCCATGATAGTGTAGTAAGACGCCAATGTGGGGGGATGGCGATGATGGCGACCAGTCCACTTATTGTCTAGTCACGGGCTACCAAGCGGACGCTGGAAGAGTGTATTACTTTTTCAAAAACTAAGCATTCAGCAGGTTAACCCCCAGCATCATTTAACCACTATAGCTTCACACCCGGGTACTCAGGGATCAACCTCATCCCAAAAACCCGTGTACATGTGCAACAATCTCTTCTCAAAAAACAAGCACGTCCTGGGAATTGGCGCTGCGGGAGGCACCGGAAGCCCGGCCACCGTGTGTTCTTCCGACCGTTTCGTTTCCGGTGTCTTCTCCGATCCGTCCGGCGGAGTCGGACCCTGACGGGTCGGACCCACCCAGGAGAGAGTCTTCCCGTCCTCCCAGAGACAAGTACCAAATCCCGATCGGACCGTCACCCAGCACGGGGGAGCTTGGACACCCCGAATCATCATCATCACCTCGTCCGACCCGTCCAGGGGCTAAATAGAAACCCCATGGCCAGGGTGTGCCTGGAGTCCTGGAGTCCCTTCTCCGCCTTCACCGGAAACCGAACCACCGGGAGGTGGTGCTGTGGGACGACCGGAACACCCGGATCATGGCGGAGCTCCGGTTCAAGACCCCCGTGCGCTCCGTACAGCCCGGGAGCTGAGACACGTGGAGAGGAAGGGATCCATGACAGCTAAAGGCCAGAAAGCACATATATACCTGGACCTTCAAGGGGTGTCGAATGGAGGTCCCTTAGTAGTGTAGGGGCTTCCATTGGTGACTCCTTTGAAGGTGCTGGTATATATATATATATATATATATTACATACAGAAAACAACAAACAGAACTACTACATATTTTAAAGATGAGATGATGACTGTGCTTCACTGTTTTCTGAAATGTAAATTCGTGTTTTCTGTTTGTTCGTTTTTGCAACCCCTTTTCACCCCTCTTGTTGGATCCAAGATCTCCGAGGCTTCGCCGGGATCTGGTGGTGGTGGCGACCAGCAACAAGGTGTGCTCGAGAATGAGAACGAGACGCAAAGGGATCGTTTTTAGACGTGGAAACCAAAAAAAGGCTGCAAATGAAGACAGTAACTAGACTCTATAGACAGTTTCAGCTCACGACTTTGAAAAAATGGACGGAAGTTGAGTCGAATGAGAATAGGGATGAGAAAGCTAAGAAGCTTTGAGCTCCGATGTTTGACAAATTTGGTGGAGATGGGATTCTAGGGGGATGAAGTGAAGGTGAGATTGTTTGTTCGTTTGATTGGACTGCCAATTTGGCACAAACCGTGGTCATCCGTGCTTGGTGAACGGTCTTTTTTCCGTGTTTCACATTGAGTATTTAATGTCATAATCTCCGCAGTGTTCAATCTTGCCCTTCTTTCAGCCCTTCGTGACACCAAGTGACAGTATCGAGTATCATCGAGTCATGCGGTTTCAATTCATGGCTTGATTTTAGCATGGTCGACCCCATGGTGCTGATGATTGGGAAAGGATCGACGGATCGGCTTCATCGGCCTCATCGGCCTCATCAGCACACCCATGCCATCCAGTCTTGAAGCCTTCTCGGTTGCTGCGCATGGAGAAGGCTTCAAACGGACCCAGCCAACGGACGTCCCCCCCAGATCAACCTCCCAGTCGAGCCGGAACTGTCTGGACCGACCGACTCTTCCGGGTTTCCGCAGCCCAGCCGTCGACGAGTCTGTGCGACCAGTCGTCGGTCTTTCGGTCAGGCGTTTGGGTCTTTCGGTGACGGTCAGGTGTGGGTCTATGGCTTCAAGACTCTAAGCCTTCTTCACTCCATCGAGACCACCGAGAATCCCAAAGGCGGCGCAGTCCCCCGGACGACCCGGACGACCCGGAGCGACGGACGACCCGTGGACCGTCGCGGTTGGGTCGAGAAGACGCGCGGATGGTCGGCGGGTTTCAGGAAGCGGTGCGGGGCGGTGAAGGGCGCCAGGTGGGTGGCCTGGAGGTGTCATGTAGGATGCAGAGGTGCCTCAGGTGTTCCCGAGCTCTGAGGAAGAAAAGATCTGAAGTTCTGCTGTAGAACTGGAAACTGGTCTGTCCCCCAACAACCGTCCCCTTGTCGGGACCATGAGATGCCCAGGAACCATGAAGATCCATGCCTTGCTTAAGCGTGAGTGAATGAGTGAAGAACATGTAACACGTGTTCTTCACTCGTTCACTGGCGCTTAAGCACCAGCAAGAGGCACTATGGCACTATGCTGATCACAGCAGATGAGAAGTTGGACCAAGCTGACTCAAATCGACAGCGTTTACGACAAGGCATTGCAAGTCTCCAAAAACATCGATGAACACATCAATTGCAACGTTTCTGTCATGCCAGAGCCGGGATGTTTGCTGCAGGCCTTTGCTGTCTTTCCTCTGGAGAGCGCATCCTTTTGCTCTGCCCGGGGATGCAACAGGCTTCGAGACCGAGAGCTTTTTAGGGGCGAGACGAAAGGGTGTCAATGGGTTGCAGCAGTGCAAGATCGTGTGGGAGTGGAGACGTTCCAGTAGACGTTCCATCTCGGTCCCCTCGAAATGCAAAGCATGGTACTGTTGAGTCAGGGCCAAACGTTCAGTGCGCGAATGGGATTTCAGCTTGTCTCCTCTTTCTGCAGTGGGCAACGTGACCTGCAGCTTTAAGTAGGAGGGACTCCAGTGACTGGATACTCAAATCTCCGTCTACTTGAGACACCAAAAAGGATATTCATGTGACTGCATGGGTGTGCATTGAAATAGGTAGCCCTCCCAGCCATTTCGATCCCCTGGATACAGTAGGCCAACACCTGGTTGTGTGTGTTGGTGCCGGCTCTGCTGTTCCAGGGCAGTGTGCTGGCCACGACTTACCCGAGCGGCTTTGGTGACCCAGCGGTGCGCTTCCACGCACTGCTGGGCGTCTTCCGGGGGGGCACAACGGCACACGGCGGGTGTGCGAGAAGGTGTGAGCTCAGTGAGGAGTTGACAGGGTTTAGTTCCATGATGTTTCACACAAAGAAACCGCTCAAGAATGCTCAAGATGTTTTTGCCGGAACCCGGCCCATGAATGGCCGGTGGATGCCGGTGGGTAAAGTCGAAGAAGTGTCCTGGGAAGTACCAGGACCCACAGTCGGGGTGGTGAATGGACTCCCCTTCACCTCTTTTCGGGGCTAATAGAAACCCCATGGCCCGGGGGTCCTGGTAGAGTCCATTAGTCACCAAGTCCCAGTCGCCACTCGCAACCGAACAGGGCCTGATGAATGGCCGACTCTTCATCTGATGACCACCGGCTCGAAGAACTCAAACATCAACAGCACGCAGCACGAAAAACATAGGAAAACACTGCTAAAGCATACCTTTAGCCACCAAAAGCAAAAGCATTGAATCTCAATTCATGATTTGGGGAATTTTGTTTGGAAGTAAAAGACTGCATATTGCATGAATAGTAACTTCACTCAGCACATGCGTATTAAACGCTCAAAGAGTTGTGCTCTACCGTCTTATGTAAGGGTCTATTGCAGTAATATTCCAATGAACCAAAACAGACATCCATTGGAATCCAATCTCTTTGAGCCTCCTCCGAGTCGCAACTTGCCGAAGGAAAGAACGCGCACGAAAAACACTCCGTTTTCAAACCGGTTTTGCCTTGCCAGGTCGTGGAGAAAGAGCGGAACCAGATCCTCCACGCGCATGACCGGCGCCAACCGACCGAGGGAAACGGAGCGAGACGGCGATGTGGAGAGCGAGACCGGGAGACCGAGGAGCTCCAATTTGGGGTGATATCATGTGATATCTGTAGACCTTGGGTTTGACCACCGTCGGGTTCTCATTTGGGCTGAAAACCTTTTCGCAGCGGAATTGCATGGAATTTCACTGATGAGTTCGGTGCTCCAAGAAAACGCCTCGTTTCGCCCCGTTCCCCGAAAGCCTCCGAAAGCTCGAGGACTCCCCTATCGCCGCCATGGCGGTCGACCAGAGCTGCCAGGGAGGCCCAGGAGAGACGGAGCTGAGCGGCCAGCGGCCCCGAGTGGCCCAGAACGGCCTCGAGTGGAGGGTCAAATCTGGGCCATTCTGAGGCCTTCAGGTCTGAAACCAGGGGAATCTGAGGTTTGCTTATAGTGCAGTCCCTCAGATATCAGCCCAAGTCATATCACAAAGGACAACCACACTCCACATGAGCATGAGTTGGTCATTGCAAGTTGTAGCTCTCACCCTCTCAACAGATTTAGCCCTGTTCTTGGACTGGCAGCTCTTTTCCACTGGCCTCTTGCTAGTGCAGGCCGCAGCAAAGCGTATGTACCTTTGCCCAAGTTGCCACTGCCTTGCTCCCGATCCCTGTAGCAACGCTTTTGGAGCTGCCCAACCCCACTGCGGCGGCTGCTTCCAGGCGTCCTCTGACTTCAGTTGAATCATGCCCCAGATGTGAAGAGAATCAAGACGATTCGAATTCGACTGCCCTGAGGACCTGCTGGTCAACAACGTTTTCAGCTTTCTCGATATCAAAGAAGCTGAAAGAAAGACTCCATCAATTACCAGACGAAACCCTTCCCTTTGGCGTTTGTGCTTTGTTGGTCTTCCTACGAGGTTCCCTCATTGCCACAGCTTCGGAGAAGGGCACCATCGTCCGCGTCCATGCGCGCAGCCCAATGACCCGGGTCTTTGGGGCGTGGTGCCAAGGCACATTTACCGGTCATTGGAGCATATTAATAGGCCATGTAGTAATTAGATGTATATTTAGCACTGTAACATGTAGTAACAGTACCAATGACTTTAAAGCAGTATTGGAGTACTACAATGTCATTGGAGTATTACATGCATTAGTACGACCACAATCTTTCAGATGTTGTCACTGAATGTAGTTGGAGTCCTTGTGGCACGGGAACATAGGGGAAACATTCACTCGAGAGGTTCACTAGCTCGCCTGTGAGTCCCCAAAATCTGGCCAACAAGCTGTTTTGGAAAGAGATGCACACCCTCAAAAACCGATGAACAGTTCAATCCTCAGCCCCGTGCTTTAAACCTTCGAGGGTATATAGGTCCACATAGGTACATCGTTTAGGTCGACTGGAAGCAGTCCAGCACTTCCATGTTTGAGGAGTTTTTGTTGGGGAAACCCAACACCTCGGTGTCTCCGAGTGACTCGGTCTCCCCCTCCCCCAGCCCCTCAGGTCTGATCGACACGTCGCACCCGGGTCGATCAGGTCGTTCCGCCGTTTCCCATTTTCCCACCCTGGTTGATCACGGTTGGGCTCGCCCTTTAGGGCGAAGTTGCTCGGTGGAGCAACGGAGAATGTCGACAGGAGATCCATGGCGATGGCAAGCCTCAGGACGGAAGGGTGGCGGTGGCGGGACCTCGAGACATGGCTCGGACTCGTCTGTGGCGCGTTTGTTGTAGCCGCTGGATGGTCCCCCCTGTGGCATGGTCCGGTGGCGTCTTCCAAGTCCTTATGTTAGGGCAGCACGCCTCTAGTGATGAGTTTTCCGCGCCCTCGACCAATTGTGGGAGGTGTTGAAGGGGCCTGGAATGGGGTGAGCATGGCTCCTTGCCCTGGCAGATTACCTGGTTTTGCTTAAGGGAAATGTTGATTGTCCAAGTGGTTAAATCCCCTTCTGGAGAATATGTTTGTCAAGATTAGGAAGGCACCCTTTCCTTTTTCGGCCCAAGCCTGATCACGCGTGATCGAACGAATCCTCAGGAGCTGCGGCGGGGCCTCGACCGAGCAGAGGTGCGGCGCCAAAGGGCGCCAAAGGGCGATCGGCCCTGTTCGGCGTTGTGCTGTGCGTTCTCGAGCTCTGTGGGTTTGGGGGCATCCCCTGGCCCAATGGGCTTTAGATGGTTTTAGTCTGTTTTAGTAGTCCATTTCCGCAACGTCGAACTGTGAGGTCTCCCTGTTTTGATACTATACCCATTTGTTCCATGAGATCTCTTTGCTCATCGAACTTTCTGAAGAGACTGCAGGATTGTTTGCTTGGAATTGATTTGGCGATATTTGGCGCGACCTTGAAGAAATACCATCATTGAATCAGAACATTTCGAGTGAATCCTCAACCCAGATTGACAAATATAGACATACGAGGAGACCCTCAGGTGCGCTTGTGCTTGAACAAGATCTCAAGTAGAAGTCATGAGCGCTTCCGAAGGACTCTCCAAACAATATTCAACACGGCAGGGCTTCCGCCTCTAAGACCAGCACTCTTTGGTCTAGCATCAGAACAACTCGCGATGGTTTCGTGGGTCTTGCTACAGAAAGACTTGCGGCCGTCTCACCCCACCAGTGGTGGCCCGCTGCGAGAGTGACGGCGTGTGTCGTGACGGCGTGGTGCGCGGCGACGCCCGTTGGCAGATCCATTCCCTGGCGTTCAGCCCATCAGGCACAGGATCAGCCGTTGGTGTGGGGAGATGGGTTCGGGTGCGGCGTTGGTTCGATTATGTATTTAGATCCTCCAAACCTATCCGAAACACCTTTGAAAGGTCGTTGGAGCCCAACGGGGAGTGGTTTCCTGGATGCATGAGAACTAAGTAAAACTTAAAAGTTGAGGCCAGGGCTTAGTGGAGCTTGGTTGTGTATCTTCCACACATCATAGAGTCATATAGATAATGTATAATTATATTTCAGGCTCAAGAGTTGGATGTCGGAAGGCTAAATAGTTGACAGAGCAATGACACATGATAAAGAGTGATGGTGTGTTCTGATTTTCCCCAAACAGCTTTGCTGTAAGGGGTTCTGAATTCTTGCATAAAAACGCTGCTGGGCCAAGATGAGTCTGCTTTGTTTTCCTTTGTCTCCCATGGCTCTTTTGGACGCTGGGCTGAGATGATTATGCTTTGTCTTCCACTGTCTCCCCTGGCTCAAAGCTGGCAGCAAAAACTGTCAAGGTTCTCTGGCAAAAGAAGCATCAACCTTGAATCTGATGGGCATACTGGACTCCTGGAGCATAGAGTAAGGTCCTGGTGCAACGTGGACCTCGGTTGGTACCTTTCTACGAGCAGCACGAGCCGATTGTCGGCAGGCTGAGGAAGCACGATACTACCCAAGACATCAAGTGTCAGAGCAGACCGAGCCCTTTTCGCTCGCAGATCAACCGTCGCCAGCGCGAGTGGACGTTGACTAACTCCAAGGTGACGTGGTGCTGTGGCGATCCAAAGTGGCATTCGATGATTTGCAGCAGGAGCTGCGTTCGGCGGTTGTGCGGGAATGCCTGACCTCATTCATTCCTCTGCACCTAAGCTTCGGAACCATCGTGTGTCCACTACCGTGGATTGTGACTGTGCCCGTCTGCCAGTGAAGCAGCATCATCATCATCATCATCATCATCATCATCACCATCAACATCATCATCACCAGCACCAGCACCAGCAGCAGCAGCATCATCATCATCATCATCATTTTTCATCTTCATCATCATCATCATCATCATCATCGGCAACATCTGGTCATCAATACCGTGTGTCCGTGCGACCGTGGATTCTGACCGTGCCCATGCGCCAGTGAAGCTTCATCATCGTCATCATCACCATCATCATCATGATGTTCTTCTTCATCTTCATCTCCACCTTTCTCACATCATCATGCCATCATTGTACGTGCCCGTGTGCTCATGGAGGTGGGTGTGCCCGCCGTTGGACCGCCATCTTCAATACTTTCATACGTTCATTGCCGTTGGAGGAGCACCTCACTATTGCATGCCGACTTTCATCGAGCTCACATCTCGAGACTTGGTGGGCTTTTCGGTCGAGTGGGGCAGGGAAGGCCAGAAAGTCTTGGCATACGAGAGCTACCTCCCATTCCACACTGGATTGGATGATGCCATCGCGCACCTTGGCGCCTTGACTGGCGAAAGCACAGGCGATGCGCGTTCGGCCACACGCGCTGGCACCAATGCGGCCAAGGCAGTCATATCTTGGCTGGTAGAAGATCATAAGCACAGCCCATGAGAAGTGGTGGAGGTACCGCTTGCCGAGGTGGCTTGGTTCACTATTATTATACATGCAGAACCTTCTTTTAGGGCCTTTAGGGGCAAGACCTTCAATTCTGCGATCAGGTGCATGCACTCGATGCTCACCGTGCGCCCGGCACCAAGGGTGGGGCCTCAATGTCTTACCCAATGCCCATTGTTAGTTTCTTTCCCAGTTTGGCAGGCAAGGCAGGCAATGCCAGCAATGCCAGCTCCAACTCCGCCAAAAACAATCCAGATCACTGACAATGAGTCAAAAGGTTGCAGAGAAGCGCCTTGGACAAAGTTCAGAGTCCAAGTGTCTTACATTCACATGTGTTGCAAGACATCTTATATACATATATACATATATTATATGTATATATATTGCCAGTACGACCGAGTTCATCCGTGCAGGCCCGGAAAACGATCAGGACTACAAATGGGTTGCGGATACGATCACAAGGGTCCCTGAAGTGGATTTGTGTGGGCTCACTGTGGCAAAAGATATCCAATCTCCCAGAGGATAAATTTCATTCCGGAAGGAGTGTCCGGAGTCCCAAAAGCGAGGACCGGTCTCGAAGTATAGTATAATCTATGTTCATGTATGTGTGGATATGTGTGGCCTTGCTGTGGACGAAGAAGAAGATGATCATCTTGAGTGGTGGAAATACAGTCGTTCCTCCATCTGGCATTCCTGGAAAGACTGGAGCGCTTCCACTGGCAGCGGAACTGCTGCATAGATTGAGGAGTTGGGTTCAGCTTGCTGATTCTAAAAGGCTGCATTTGGCCTTTGAGACCCTTACACCATCCATCTACAGACTGACCCAAACCACGGGGTGTTCTGCCCCGCAGAGCCCACTTTCTTCCAGCTACTTTCACAATCAGATCAATCACTCAGCATCAGCATAGACCCCAGATAGCAAAACGACACTTGTGGGCAGCACACTGCAGCGGCACTCTGCACACGTCGCAGCAGCACCCTCAGGCAGTATCCTGCAGCGGCGCCAGCGCCCAAGCTCCAAAGCGCACACGGCCACAAATCTGGCAACGGCCCCAAGCTCCAAAAAGCCTTGCATCTGGCAGCGGCACCAGCGCCCAAGTCCATAGCGTACACAGCCACACATTTGGCAGCGGCACCCTGCAGCGGCACCAGCGCCAAAGCTCAAAGCTCCAACACGCACACAGACACCGCTTCCTTTTTTTCTTGAAGTATGAACCCCAAAAGCTCTCGTAGGTGTGTGAAGGAGGGCGGTCAGTTGGCACACGCCCCCCCTGTAGCGCCTTAGCGGCTTGACGTGCGGAGCCTGATGCTTTGGCACAAACGATTGAAACTCGCAAGTCTTTCACCTTCTGTGTGTCAACATGGGCCAATGGAACCGCTGGCCCAGTTGCTTTTTCAGTGCCTGATGGAGAAATGCCAGGAGAAATGATGAAGAATCTCAGCGAGAGGTACCGCGGGCAGGCTTTTGGGATCATGTCCCTCTCTGACTCCCACTTCATGACCTCGGAGACAATCATCCAACTTACGAGCATCTCTACGCCCCAGCTTTCAAGCTCCAGCGTCAGCTCCATAGTTTGAATGTGTCTGACAGGGGGATGCTTTTGCGCGACGCATTCACAGGATCCTACAGCCAGACATCAGGCTATGAACAAAGGCGAGCCCGATTCACCCAGAGTTGCACCGTCCGACTCCCATCACCCCAACCAGGGGGATGGAGGAAGGCCAACCATGCGACCAGATATGCAGTGCAGGAAGGTGCTCGACATCAAGCTGGGCTTTGGCAAAGGGTACCTGGACAGACCTCAATATGAACAGTGGCCGCTAGGGGTGATTGATTGGACAAACTCAGCTCACAAACGGCGATTTTGCACTCCCCCCCAAGACATCCCATATCCCCACCCACAAAAACATAAGCCCAAGAAAAATCCCCAATAGCCGGACATCAAAGTCCACCTATATTAGGCGAGTTCACCAACAAGTGTCGTGCCTTTTCTAAGCAGTGTTTTCTTCCAAAGAGTGAACCGTTTCAATGTGCAAGCGAATATATCAACACAGCAATACGTCGGCATAGCATAGCACATATAATGGGCCGCATAATGTGCCCACATACATGACAAGCACGACAGCACCACAAGAAGCAAAACCAGCAAACCCTCTCCAGAACCCAGTCTGGAGCCTGCCAGCAAGTCAGCGCAACAGCATGCCCCAACTTCAGCATCTCAGCGTGACAACATGTCAGTACGTCAGCGTGACCCAACGCCGGGCCCCCCTGACCTTTCGCCGGAACTTTTTGTCTTGAACCTTCGGCCCTGCTCCGGAACCTCCTCCGGAATCTGCTCCGCAACTTGTTGCGGAACCTGCTCCGGAGCTCAGATCTACTCCGAAGTCTATCCTATGATCGAAGACCCCTAAGGCTTCGCTGTTGGTGAAAGACATAGAAATAGGAGAAAAAAAAGCGCGGCCGGACGAACCCCGACCCCGAAACGAAAGGACGCTGCTTGAACGCCATCGCTGCTGCGCCCAAGAGGCGACTTCCTGGTGGCGTCTTCGGACAAAGGGACCGTGCACGTCTTCGCCCTTCGCACAGGCGCCAGCTGAGAGCACAGAGCACAGCGCTCTGCGTGTGAGAAATGAGGAGTTGGAGGTTTTTCGGATTATTGGAGCAGAACCAAATCCTAATCCAACCCTTTATTGATTCTGAAATATTCTGAATGATTTGTTCATTCTTGTTCAAGATGTTCGACAGGAGCTCACCACCAACGTGCTGCGAGGTTGGACCTTGTCCACTCAGTTTTGAAATGATTTGATCCAGATCATGGTCCAGGTGTCCGAAAAGATCTGGGACATGTTGTGTTTACTGTCAGACCGCACTGGCGAGTAAGATCGTGGCTTTGGAAATTGTTTCCAATAGGGTATCACAGGGACATACTGGGACACAGGGACCCTGAGGCTCGAAGTAGTTTTTCATCAGCTGTGTTCGGGTTCCGAGCAGGCCGGCTCAGAGTGTTCCGATGTGAAAAGCCTGAGAATGAAGGCGTTTTCAGGGAAATGGGACGGTGCCACGACATGGGAGTTCACAGTAGACAGTAACCATTTAGTTCAACTCAACTGGCTTGGAAGATCTTCATCATCTCATCCCAGTCATCTTAGGAGCACCTGACCTAATGAGGTGGAGCGCCTGACCTAATGAGGTTCTACTATAGTTGTCCGGCACTTGCCAAACGGCTAACCGACATGTTTATTCCCACTCCCCTGGACTTCATGTTGATCAATTCACTTCATATGACTCACCTGGAAGGGGAGGCCCCTGTGGCCCTGTGGCTTCCAAGGTCATTGCTCCCGCAAACCTACCCTTCCAGTGGCCTCTTTTTGGATGACCTGAACATGTTCACCTGCCAAGCAAAATGCCGCACCCCCTGTCTTACACTGGACCCCCGCTCTTTATCCCGCGGACCACGCGTACACGTTCGCTTACTTTCACTGCACTCCATTCGTGAAAAAAGAACGCTGGGACCTCCACCAAAGCACGGCGTGGGAGGTGGTGGCGAGGATGCGACGAACTCCAAGTCCAGCTTGAAGCGCTTGCCGGGACCCCCACGACTTTTGGAAAAGGGCCCGTTTTGGCGGAAGAAGGCGTGGCCGGTTGGGCGGTCCAGACGCCAAACGCCCAAAGGCCCTGGGACGGGATGCAAAAGAGAAGGGGACCGGGGGAGGAGAAGAGAGAGAGAGTGTGTGAGTGAGTGAGTGAGTGAGTGAGTGAGTGAGTGAGTGAGTGAGTG